TACTGTTCCGCCGAGAATGGGTTGGTGGGGGTTTTTTTTTGGTGGGGTGAGAGACGTTTACGGTAAAATGAAGGGTTCGGTGTTTGTATGGGCGGAGGTTGGAAGTGTGGTGCGATGCTGGGGAGACGAAGTATCTACCGTACGAGTGCTCGAGTACCTGGTACAGTTAACCTAAGGCACTGTGTGGCATCGGCCAGACTAAAGGCCCGAGGGGCCGCCTCGCTAGAAACGCCAAGAAGAAGGCACTGTATGATACGGGCACTACGTTAGTAAAGCGTCCGAGACCAAGACCCTGGATCTGCAGCACCGGTTTAATGTACGAGTACTAGTACTGTACAGTACTAGTACAAGTAATACCGTATGATGCTTATACCGGTACGACGTTCGCAAGTCTTTCCTTAGGCGTACCGGTAGGAAACATCCTTCATACCGGTGCACTGCATCGTTTCCTCGTTATCTCTCGAGCAAAGCCAGCCGCTACCCTTTCCCTTCGCAAGCAATATTTCACTCCTAGGAGAAATGATTATCCTATGTCCGGATGATGGTCTGCAGGTCGGCTGACCCTCGGCTGATTCTGCAAGAATACCCAACTACCGGTATTCGCACATGCGATACCAGCAGCCAGTATCCCGGCATAGAACATACTTATACTGCACCCAAGGACAAGAATAATTGGGCCTCGTGCTGGGCCCTCCTCATTTTCTGACTCGATCCTTTCCCAACCGAACAAGGGAGAGCCCCTCTGTGCACAATCTTGTGACTTCACTCCCAGGCGGCTCAGCCTAACACTGTGCCAGTACCGGTACTATGCTATAACTATCTATCCATATTTACAGGTACTCGAGTACCGGAATTTCATCCCTTGGTTTTACTTCTTCAATACAGTGCTACCTTCCGTGTTGAAACTAGCTTTTCACACCGTATCGTACTATATAGGGGTTTCTCGCCTACAACACCGGTGTTTATAGAGCCCTATACTCCCGGGATAACCGTGGGCTATCACAAAGCTTTGAAAGAAGCATGTTTGACCTGTTGATCGCTCTTAATGACCCACGGGGATACACCGATGGACCTAGAAACCGATCCCTTAACCCCAGAGCGCAAAGTCATCATACCGTCGGTTTACCGGAGCCCCGAGAACTCAAGTTATAGGTGTTAGCATTATTCGGGTTCCTTAGGTAGGTAGCATCCGATATCGCATGTTTTGGCAGTTATGGTGACACGATTGCAAACAGTATCACCAGTGCTGCTCTTCGGTCTTGACTTTTTTTTCCCTTTCCGCTATTTACCAGAGCTAGCACTCCTACTATTCCCGCTGCTTGTATATTCCATTTTACGCGGCCTGGAAGGTTTGTCCTAGGTTCCCGTTTTAAGGTGCAGACTGCTGCGATACTCCAATTGCCCCACACTAATACTCGAGCGGGGCTTGACGACTTCCATGTTTTTGCAGAACTGCCGCATTTACAGTATGAGCGTGTACCGTACTAGTAGCTGCTGCTGACCTGGATTCAGACATTGGGGGAGCAAACCAGTTTTCGGAACAGAGCTCCGCTCAACAATGACTATTTTTTGCACTCAAGACATTGCTCCTGGCACCCTCCAAAACTCCATTTACCCATTGCTTTTATCTTTGGCCGTTTGTTCGATCCCTTAGATGTTCCAGTCGCCATCGCCCGCTTCACCCAAGGAGGTATCCGGCGACATTATTTCCAATGTACTACGGAACCGAGTATGGCCCTAGCGTCTCAATGGATAGGAGGGGGCCGTGTTGGCGAATAGCCTTTGGCACAAATAAGGAGCGGCTTATCCTAATCATTCCCAACCATTCTCAAGAGTTTTCGGGACCGTTTACCTTCGGGTGAAGTCCCCCCGAGTTCGAGGGTGTCTTCGTGGAAAAGCAACGCCGAAGCAAAAACGAACATATTGAGAGATTGGAGGACTCCAAAGCAACGGCTCAGGGGCCTTAGCTTCCACAAAGCTCTACCGTATCTTTCTTGCCGGTATAGAATCTACGGACCGATATCCCGCTATTAGCAACTAACGAATACGTTTGATCCAAGGTTATCGGTATCCGGACTTAAATTCGGCTATGGCTAGAGAGCCAGGAGGTTTGCAGGATTGCATAGATTGAGTCAACCTATAATACCGCTATTCATAGCGACAGGATTTAACTCGAGGAATAAACGCCCGGCTCTGGGGAAAAGCTTCCTCAATCTCTTTTCGGTCGCTAGTAACAGAGGTTAAAGGTTCCGGTTCTCGGCCCTCTGGATCCTACTTACTGCACAGGAAAACTCTACTCGTGCGTCTTAGCCAAGAATTGGTTTCCCCATTTGTGGGAGTGAGTGTGGGCAGGTACTTTTCCACCAACGAAGTATAGTGGAGAACTAGCTGAGAGGTCTAACTATTTGGGGAATTGTCTCATACAACTCTTACTTCTCTGACGATGTTATCTTGTTCTACTAATTGAGTACTCGAGTACAGGTTACCTGATCACGTACTAGTTATGCAACATCCAGACACTATACTTCTTTGGTGGAAAAGTACTGGCCCACACTGGCTATCACAAATGGGGAAACCAATTCTTGGCTGAGACGCACGAGTAACAACGCAAAAACACGGAACCCAGGTTATAAAAGGAGTATTCAACCCCCGGGTTGAAAATCTTTTTTCGAGCGCCGAGTTTCGAGCGGATCTGCCAGATACCGGTACGCATGCAAAAAGGGCGTCACAAATTCAACTCGAAAAACTTGCATAGACGCTTTTCAGCCCCGGGACTGAATGCCTCAAATCCGAGAGTTTTTAATGCTCTTGCCTCCCTCCCACAGCAAAACCCATTAGGGCCCGGGGGTCCGAGTTTTGGAAGCATTCCGGTATGGTATGATAGCCCTGTTCCGCAGAGGCCCTTCCCAGTCCACACGTTAC